ACCTTCCAGGTGAAAAAGCATTTCTCTCAATCCAGTCTCTTGCATTTGCTGCTCACAATGTCATCTCTTCTACAGAAACAAAACGTAGACTGGGTGACCACGTTGCAGAACATCTACATTCTGCCTGCAAAAATGACCCTGAGCATCCATTTGCCTGCCACTTAGACCTTCCATCCCTATACATGTCCATACCCCACAAGGACTGCCTACAGGCCCTCAGTTTCTTCCACTCCAACAGTCCCATTCGGTACCACCTCCACCTCAGCGAACTAGTCCTCACCCTCAATAACTTTTCCGTCAATTCTTTCCACTTTCTTCAAATACAGGGGGTTGCCGTGGGCCCTAGCTACGCCTGCCTGTTTGTCGGTTATGTTGAACAGTCCCTCTTCAGTACATTCACCGGTACTGTTCCCCAACTTTTCGGTTGTAACATCGATGACTGCAGCGGTGCTGCATCCTGCACCCAGGCTGAACTGGAGCAGTTGATAGACTTCAACAACTTTCCGTGATGGCCTCAAATTCATTGGTCTGTCTCAAATGCCTCCCTCCCCTTTCTTGGCCTCTCACTTTCCATTTCTGGCGACAGTTTACATACCAACATTTAATAACTCAGCTGCTTTACAAAGTACCTTCAGGGAATGGAGTCTACCACCCCAGCCTTGTCTGACATACGCACAACTCCAAGCTCTCTCAAAAACCGAAAACTGCGGATGCTGTGAATCAGGAACAAAAACAAAGTTGGTGGAAAAGCTCAGCAGGTCTAGCAGCATCTGTGAAGGAAAAAACAGAGTTGACATTTTGGGTCCGGTGACCCTTCCGATTCTCTCCACTCCCCCCTCCCCAAAACTTAATAAAGAAAGGGCCCCCATTGTCCTCACTTTTCACCCTTCACGCCACACTCCCCACCAACCACCCGGTACCTTCCCCTGTAACCGTAAAAGATGCGACACCTGCCCACACACCACCTCCCTCACCTCCATTCAAGGCCCTAAACAGCCGTTCCAAAAGAGAAAGAGCTTCTGCATCTCGTCCAACCTAGTCTATTGCATCCGGTGCTCCCAATGTGGTCTGCTTACGTCGGTAAGACCAAACATGGATTATGTGACCATTTTGCCAAGCATTTCCATCTGGCCTGTAACAGCCAACCTAACCTTCAGGTCACTGCCCATTTCAACACCGCGTCCAACTCCCCCGTCTGATATGTCCTACAGCCTGGAGGACTCAACATTGAGTTCTCCAATTTCAAATAAACTTGCCACTCATCCCCCACCTCCCCTTTTTAGCCCCATCTCCTCCCTTCCATTCCACCTTCTGACCCTCCTTTCTAGCAACCATCCAGGTCATATCTACCACCAGTGTCCACCTATCACCACCATTCCACTTCAACCCCTTCCTCCCCCTCTTTGTCTATGGCTCCCCCTACCCCCGCATCCAGTCCTGAAGAAGGGTATTACCTGAAACGCTGACTGCTTCTTTCCTCCGGGTGCTGCCTGTGCCTGGCCTGCTGTATTCTTCTAGCCTCCTGTTTGTCTATCTTGAATTCCAGCATCTGCAGTTTTTTTGGCTGTCACTTTAACACACCACCCTGTCCCCTCGCCAGCATATGTCTCTGGCTCGCTGCAGTGTTACAGCAAAGCTCAGCGCAAGCTGGAAGAACAACACCACATTTTCCATTGGAAACCCTGTAGCTTTCCGGCTTCGCATAGAATTCAATAATTTTAGGCCCCGAACTCTCCCATGTCCTGCCCGTCTACCCAACGCATCGGGCCTTATTATCACATTGTCTGCCATTACACATTACCTATTATTAACCACTAACAGTCTCCATTAATGGCTATTCACACTCCTAGCCAGATCGTTATTCACTCCTTTGTCTGTCCAACTGTTCTTCTCTCTCTTTTTGGGCTCTATCCCCACCTATCATTTACTCCTGAACCCTTCCCCCCCCTACCCTGTCTTCTGGATATAAACCAAAATTTTCCTAGCTAGTATCAGTTTTGAGGAAGGATTGCTGGGCTTGAAACATTAACTGTGATTTCTCTTCACAGATGCTGCCAGACGTGCTGAGCTTTTCCAGCAACCTCTGTTTTTGTTGATAAATTCATAGATCAATTTGTGAACTTGTTCAACTGGACTGCAGTGCTTACAAGTTTGCTTTGTAATGAAGTTATGCATTTGGAATGTCACAGCTAATGTTCCCACCAAGTTGTACAGCAGCATGAAAGGTACTAAATAAACTTTATTCTGTAATAATGCGTATATGAGGCTGTGTGGATAACTTCAGGGAGCTGTGGACTGGAAAAGGCATATCGTGCAGAATAAACTGGCTTTTACAGTAAACATTAGCCATGACTACTTACTATTCTAGTTACTGGGCCATTTTTTAAAAACTGTCATTGTGAGCTGTATTTGGAGGATTTAAATATATGGTCATGTATTTGTTGCAAAAATAGTCCAGTAGCATTGACAGTAAAATCAGATTATCCAGAATTATGTAGGTGGCTTATGAATGTAGGAAGCTTTAGAACTAATAGTTGGTTTTACAGTTTTTCACTGATTTTTGTGTTGTTTTTATAACAATTTATACTGCTTTTTCATGGACTTTAACTATAACTTATAACCTGGACTGGCTAATGACAAACTCCACAACGGCATTGAGATTTACTATCCTGCCAGTTGCTTCATTCAAGAAGTAAAAACAAATGGCCTCCATTTTGAAGTTAGCATCTAAAATATATATAATGAAGCTTCATTTTGGATATTATGAAAAATACAGGTGTGTGTGTGTGTGTACCTTTTAAGTTATACAATTTAAATGCACCTTGGGCACAGGGCTGCCTCCTTGCACTACAAATTGTGAACTTGTTTGTTTTGAATTATTTGTAGCATTGAACGTGGTTTTCTTTTAGCCTGAAGTTGACTGTTTAAACAAAATTTCACATTCCTCATTTGGGCATTGCTTCATTGCATGTGAGCTTGTTTGAAATTGTCACACATTAGCTTGTTGATATGTACACTTGTTTCAAAAGCATTTCCTCTTTTCTAAGCAGCTTTCCATTTAAAGCAAAAATCAATTAAATCTGGGATAATAAGGTGTCGAGCTGGATGAACACAGCAGGCCAAGCAGCATCAGAGGAGCAGGAAAGCTGATGTTTTGGGCCTAGACCCTTCAAATTCAGTTTAAGCTTAAATTTGTGAAGTAAAAAAGAAACGGTAGTCAGCAGGAGAAGTGAAGCTAGTTTTTTTGGGGCCTGGAAATTAGTATGTAATGGTTCAGATAAGGCACAGTTGACTAAGTGAGAAAAGCATGTTTAACATCCATGCTAACATTGTTTGGCTCGAGATCTGCAGGTTATTCAAATGTAGTGAAGCCTAAATTCTCAAAATTGCAAATATTCAGGTAATAAGATGACGATGAGCTGCAAAGAACTGGGAAAGATCAGTCAAGTCAATTAGGGGCGGCACGGTGAAGAAGGGTGTAGGCCCGAAACGTCAGCTTTCCTGCTCTGATGCTGCTTGGCCTGCAGTGTTCATCCAACTCTACACTTTGTTATCTCAGATTCTCCAGCATCTGCAGTTCCTACTATCTCTGAATCAATAAAATCTGGTGGATCTACTCTCTTTGGCACAGATAATGTTTGTTCTTGTCATCGATCAGAGTTTGATCCTGTTGAGTAATGCCACCTTTTGAATTCTACAGAGCTGCTTAAAATATCGTTTTTTGCCATTTGCAGGGGAAAGAAAATCAGCTGTTTACAAATGAAAGTATTTCTATTAGCACAAAAGTTTGGGAATGAGCGCTGCCATTTCTGTTGTATTTTTGAATTCAAAGGATTCTAAGAAATCTGGATTCCATTGAAGATTCTCCAACTAAGACTCGGATTAAATTATTTCTTACTAATTTAGTTTGTTTTATCAATCTGAGTTACCCTGGGATGTGCGTTTTAATTGTTTTTTTTGTTTTTTTGTTTTGAAAGAGTTTAGGACTTCATGAGAGAATATATTTTTTTGCTGGCTTTCTGTTTATCCTTTGCCAGCCTAAAAATGAATGTTAAAGTTTTTGACCATAAAAGATGACAAACTCGTTTCCATCACAGCTGACATCCACATGCATAACTTCCTGTTAGAACCCCCAGTTTGTTAGTTCATTTTTATTAACTTGGCTGAACGGACATCTTGTCAGAGATGGAAGATCAAACTCTGAATGTCTGTAAGCTCTTTGAAACATCAGGTGTGCATTTGCCTGTTGAACCTTGTAAGGACTCTCAGTTCATTTTTTTTAAAGTCCTATTAAAATACAATTAAATATTAAAACTTCTATCTAAATTCTGTTTTCAGAGAATTATTAGAAAGTTACCTAAACCCATGTTGCAGTTAAGCAAAATTAATAATCAGTGGGATTATTGATGTAACTAAAGGAAGTTTGCCCATTTAATAAAAGCCTGAAGAACTGCGGATGTTGTAAATCAGGAACAAAAACAAAGTTGCTGGAAAAGCTCAGCAGGTCTGGCAGCATCTGTGAATGAAAAAGAGAGTTAACATTTCCAGTCCAGTGACCCTTCCGTTCTGAGGAAGGGTCACCAGACCCGAAACATTAACTCTGTTTTTTCCTTCACAGATGCTGCCAGACCTCCTGAGCATTTCCAGCAACTTTGTTTTTGTTGCCCATTTAATAGCCTTATTTCATAAGATTTAAAACTTTGAGTTAAAAGTACATATTTTGATGCAAATATTTATCAATATTAACTATTCTTTAAGTCAGAAGTTAACTGAAAACAGACTATCATAACGTCGTGCTTCATTTTGTACTTATTGCTGCAAAGCACATTGGAATATTCTGAGGTTGTCAAAAGTTCTATGATATGTATCTTTATTCCAACTTGGTCTGCTAAACTTTCATCACTGGAAACAGTAACTAAAGTGTCCAAATTGCGGCTACAATGGTTAGGAATTGATTTATGCAACTAGTGTTTTCTCCTTGACTTTTTTCCCTTCCTCAGCTATGTTGTCACAGAGCTAATGCAAAGTGATCTTCACAAGATCATCGTGTCTCCACAACCATTGAGTTCAGATCATGTCAAAGTTTTCCTGTACCAGATTTTGAGAGGTGGGTAAACATTCAGTGCTATGTAAAATTTATATCAGGATTTATCCTCAATGTAAAACTTTAATATTACATATGTAATAAGCCATGTAGAACTAAATCAGTTGTAGGTCAGTGTTAACCTTCCTGCCTGATTCAAGAGTTTTGGGGTTCAAGACCCAACCTGCATTTGAGCACCATCTAGGCAGATATTCCAGCTGAGAACTGACTGACTACTGCACTGTTAGTCTTTTTAGGTAAAATAATCTGTCAGTTCTTTAGGTGTGAATGGTATTTTCAATGAAAAGCAGCAGAGTTCTGCATGGTGTTGTGGCCCATATTAATTCATCACTATCACTAATATTTACTGTTCATTTATAGTATCTTGCTGTGTGCAAATTGGCTGCTGTGTAATCGCACATTAGTTTTGAAATATTGTCACTTTTAACATAACCCCATGATGTCCTAGAATGCTTATTGGATGCAGTATATAAATGGATGTTAACTTTTAGTATTTCCAGTGCTAGAATAATTAGAAAATCTCTGGCATGGTGAACCAGTGCACGTCTCCACCGTTGAGGTACAGGACGTGTTGCTAGATGCTAGATGTTATTTTATGATGGAGTGTTACTGCAGCTTTAGTAATGTTGACAAAGACCAAACATCATGATACTTGTCTGGTGGAGGAATGCAATCCAGGAAGTCCAAATAGAGTGTTAGGGAGTGAAGGGAAGAAATAAATTCACATCTGGTTTCTCCCTTTAACACAATTCTATTAAGAGAATGCCATCAAGAGCATCTCTTGGTTTGTGTATATTGTTCTACATACTTTGAATCCTGTATGTAGGAGTAATTTGCACAAGTGCATTTTTTGCAGCGTTGGAATTGTTAATGTTTCCACCCACTGGATTCTTACATTTACAGGTTCTATAAATTGTTCGTGATAATCACACCTGAGATCATTTGGTAGTTTTTCCAACCAAAAGCGATGCATGCTAGTCATGTAAGCTGTTTGCAAAAGACTCCAGCAGGAAGACATTGCAGCTTTCTGTTAAAGAGAAAAAAATAGATCCTAAGCAAAAGAGGAAAGAAAAAAAAAGTGCAGGTCGACATGAGGGGTTGTAGTTAAAGTAAGATTTTAAAGGACCTTGTGAAGGTTGGACGGACTGGAAATGGTGAACTCTTATTTTAAAACACTTTTTGTAGTTACTGCTTAGGTCACTTCCCAAATCCATTCCTGTCTTTCTTGGGACTCCATGTTGGAATCCCTCCAATCAGGTTTTTACCCTGCCAAGGTACTGAAACAACTCTGCCAAAGTGACAAGTAACATCCCATGTAACTGTAACACAGTATTTCTCTCGTGTCCTCCTTGACCAGCATGTAGGCCTTGATATTTGACTGCATTATCCTCCCACTACCACATCTGGTATGCATATGGGTAGGACTGTCCTCATGTTCTGTTCTCTTCTTATCATAGAGAATTGCTTGCAGTAGCTTCTCTTCTGGTTCCCATACTGCTACCTCTGGTTTTCCACAAATGTTTCTCCCTGGCCCATCCTTATCCGCATGCTGCCCCTCAATGACATCACCCAAAGGCAAGGATTAGTTTTCATGTGTATGGATGACACGTGGCTCTACCTCTCTATCACCCTTTAATTGAAATGTTGTTATCAGATTGTGACATCCAGTATTGGTTGGGCATAAACTTCCTCCAGTTATATATTGGAAAGACTGAAGATGTTATTTTCAGACCACATTCCAACCTTCCACTTCCTAACGACTAGCTCAGTTGTCACGGATACAAACTGAGATTTAGCCCTAGAGATAGTAGGAACTGCAGATGCTGGAGAATCTGAGATAACAAGATGTAGAGCTGGATGAACACAGCAGGCCAAGCAGCATCAGAGGAGCAGGAAAGCTGACGTTTCGGGCCTAGCCCCTTCTTCATAAATGAACCTTTTCTGAAGAAAGGTCTAGGCCCGAAACGTCAGCTTTCCTGCTCCTCTGATGCTGCTTGGCCTGTTGTGTTTATCCAGCTGTACACCTTGTTAGCTGAGATTTAGGCCGTTTGTTTGTTGCCTTGGTGTCGCATTTTGATCCTAGATGGAATTCTGACCATTTACGCCATCACAAAAGCTACCTGATTTTCCCCTCCATAGCGTTGCCTAATTTCACCTGTTTTAAACAATGTTGCTGAAGCTCTCATTAATTGTTATTCTAAACTTGACTATTTGAACATTCAGCAAGTTTCTCTTATTCTAATCTCCATAAACTTGCTGACTTACATTTGGCTGTGTTCAAGCAACATGTTTATGTATAGAGTTTTCGAGTCATACAGCACTTTGGTCCAACTCGTCCACGCCAATCCATGTCCAGCCCTGCCTCTCTCAAACATTTATGCTCTAATTCTGATTCCTTTGCATTCCCTATTATTCCCTATAATTACTCCATCATTGCTTTGCTTTTAATTGCTTATGCCTCCAAGGTCTGGGATACCATCCCTACATCCTTCCACCTCTCTCCCTTGCTTTACTCCTTCAAGACACCACTTAGTAAGTACCTCTTTGACTAGACTTCTGTCATCTGACCTAATATATCCTTTTATGGCTTGCTGTCATTCTTCATTTAAGAATGTTCCCCTCAAGTATCTTGAGAAATTCCATTCTATTACATACAATTATGTAAAAATAAATGCAAAAGGCATGGCAATACAAAACATTCATATTTGGATACTAGTTGATTGCCACAGCAAAACAAATCAATGCCGCGGAGAGGTTTGAAAGGAAAGATGAAAATATTTAGGTTGAGTCGCTTGTCGTTTTGAGATAATACAGATTAAAAAGGATAGGATAATGCTGATGTGACTTCAAGATAAGCTATCGATTATGGAGTTATGGATGAGTTGAAACTTGCCAAGAGCTGAAGTTTGGCCAGAGCCTATAAGGATGAGATGATGGCTTGAACTTGGATTCCACCATCAGTGGGTAAGTTGCAAATTGCTAAATTTAGTATAGTGAAACAATAATACCTAGAACGTAAGGACAAACTAGTGTTTGTGGTCAAGCATTACATCAAGGTTCTCCATGATCTGTCTAAATCTAAATTAATCAAATCTAGACTGTCTTGCCATGCTGCATCAAATATTGAAGTTCATATTGATGCTAAAAAAATCTTTTTTTTTCAGCTAATGTAGTTGTCTAACACTACAGATTGATCTCAGGCTCCACGTTGAACAGCTTCATGATCTAGAACCCGTCTCATGTCTTGTTATAGAAAAGCTAACATTAATCAAGGTGTTTTATCACTTTGGAGAAAGAAAATCTTGCATTTATGTAGTAAGGCACTTTGGCACTTCACAGCCAAGCATTTTTGAAGTGCAGTCAGCGATTTAATAAAACAAAAGTTGTCAGTCTGTTCACCACACACTACTACAAACAATATTGTGCTAAAGACCAGATGATCAACATCAAAAAATAATGCAATAAATGTTGGCCAGGAAACTAGGGGTAACCCTTGGTGCCCTTCAAGGTTGTTCCAAGGTATCTTTTGTATCCCAAGATGGTGGATAGAGCCTCAGTTTAACATCTCATCTGAAAGACTTGCCTTTGACAATGAAGTACTGGAATGCCAACCTAGCCTTTGCACTTAAGTTGGGAGAAGGCTGCATTCGCTGACACCAGCGCATGCACACTATGCAGGGCTTTAAATCGCACATGCACATACAAATGTTTTGGGTGGATGCAGCCCAGGAGAGAGAAATCAGGAGCTGGGAAAAGGGAGTTGGGGGGGTGGGGTGGGGTGGGGTAAAGAGGGCCTGTTATCTTTGTCAAGATCCATTCCCCACTCCTTTGCTGACCTAGTCATCCTGGCTACTGGGCCCTCATCTCTCCCCAATCTGGGAACCTCTTGGCAGGAGAATCTTTTGATGCATGTGCCCATTTCCTATTAGTCTGTATCAAGAAAGAGAATTGGGGGATATATTTTAGTATGTGCCAGCTCTGTCAGTTCAAGTCAATGAATAGGCAGCAAGTAGAATGCTTGGGTGCAGCTGCAAAATAAGGAAAAGTACTATCTAAAAGAATTAAATTGTAATGTATATGTGATAGTATCACATTTTGAGACCAAGTTGTGAAGTTTTTAAAAGAATCAAAGTCCAGAAAACCTGAAGTGAAACATAGTGGTGGAAAACCTCAGGAGGGCACAGGCAACTGGAAGAATAAGCAGATCATATCTCAGAATTCACTTGAAGTGTTAACCTTTCTTTTAAATACTGACTGACCTTGCAATTTTTAATGTATGCCCTAGTGAAAGAAAGGAACTTATGTTTATTTAGTGCCTTTTGTGACCTTAAGACACTCAAATTTTTTTTGAGAATATAGTTTGACAGATGTGCAATTTTAAATACTTGTATAGTTTTAATTATTTAACTACTTTTAATCTTAGGGTTGAAGTATCTGCATTCAGCTGGCATTTTACACAGAGATATCAAACCAGGGAATCTTCTTGTGAACAGCAACTGTGTCCTGAAGGTTAGTTTTGTCTACATTACTACAGTATTAACTAAAACTGTGTTCCAGTAAGAGCTAATGAGCTAATTAAAGTAAGTGTTCCATTTGATTCATATGGTGAAGTGTATGTTCCTTTCTGTATATACCAAAATTGCTACTTAGTGTAGAATTGCTGATGCAATTTTCAATAAAATCAAGCAAGGAACAACTTACTGGAAAAATATTACAGGTTGGTTGATACATGAACCAAACCAGAATATTTTACGGTTACTATAAGAAATCATTGTAAACACCACTTGATGCAATAGAGATAGTAGGAACTGCAGATGCTGGATAGGCTGGGATAACAAGGTGTGGAGCTGGATGAACACAGCAGGCCAAGCAGCATCCGAGGAGCAGGGCCTAGACCCTTCTTCAGAAATGGAGAAGGGTCTAGGCCCGAAACGTCAGCCTTCCTGCTCCTCTGATGCTGCTTGGCCTACTGTGTTCATCCAGCTCTACACCTTGTTATCTCACTTAATGCAATATTTTTGTTTTACAAAAGAATGGTACTACTACTTTAATTATCCCAGATTTTATGGATCAGTACACAACTTTGCAATTCATTTCCTTAGTAAGATGCACTGTATGCACAAATTAGGACGTTAGCCTCAAAGGCATTTATTTCAGTTACAGACTCCTAAATTGACCAAAAATAATTGTTGGTTTGATTTGTAAAAGCTCTTGGCACAAGTTCCCGGATGGATCAATGGATTTAGCTGAACCAAGGAGATCCAGCTTTGGGCTTCAAATTTGACTTGGCCATTCTTGCTCTGTATGAACCTACCTCAGTTGATCTGGCCCTCTTTGGTTAGAGAGGTCAAAATTGGGCCTGTCTTGTTGCTACCGCTCAGTAATCAATGTATGCTAATGTCCCACAGGGCCATTCCTCATGCATGCATGCCAAGGCTCGAGCGAATAATCATTTTTTTTTATTCTTGAAGGTGCTTAGTACCATGCCTAAGGGAGGAGAGAAAATTGGAAGGGGTACCTATTTTCCAAAGGAGGCGAAAAGCTATGATACATATGCCTTTTTATTTTGTCAATGTTTTCCAACTTGGAGATAAGAATGGGTAATGAACTGATTGTTTATACAATTTCATGCTGTAAGTTACACTTGCATTAACTGGAGCTTAACTTGAATGTTTACGTATGGCAATATAGATTTTAAACATGAATCTGACAACATTGATCAAAGCCTCCACTCTGAACATGCTGAACATACATTGTCAATCAGTTAGTGAAGCAAATTATAAGATGTCAGTTGTATGTAAACAATTTTTTTTTAAATGGAGAAAAGCAAAACTGCATGGAAATTAGGTGTAAATGCTTGTAGTTCTAATGCAATTTAATTCCCAGAAATAGACTGGGATGGTAATAGTGTAAAGGAGAGAAGCATTCTAAATTGAGTTCAGGGGAACTTTCTACAGAATGTACCTAGTCCAACAAGAAAGGAGGCACTTGAATAAATACTGCTGGTGCTGAAAATATGAAACAAACCAGAGAATCCTGGAGAAACTGAGCAGGTCTGGCACTTTCTGTGGAGAAAGCAAAAGGAGGCACTGTTGGACCTGGTTCTTGGAAATGAAATAGACCATGTGGATTAAATGTCAGTGTAGAAATACCTAGGAGACTGATCATTATATATAAGGTTTGGGATGACTATCAAAAAGAACAGTGGGTAATTCAGAGTAAGAATAGTCAACTGGGAGACAGCTAACTTTAATCAGGCAAAAATAGAGCTGGGCTGAATTTTGGAGCCAAAGCTTGGCAGCTAGAACTGTAGCTAAACAATGGACTACCTTCAAAAATTTTTGGCAAATAAATCCAGAGATCCTGGATGAAAAGTATAGAAATTAAGATAAGCAAGAAAAAAAGTGTGTTTATGATGGGTGTCGGCTAGAAAATCCAATTGAAAACAAAGCTGAATACAGAAGTTCAGAAGTGGTCAAAAACAAATGAGAAACAAAGGAAGATTATGAGGAAAAAACTGGCAGCCACCAAATCGGAGAATCTCTTTAGTCTTCTATGGGCAGTACGTAATAAGAGTGTAATAATAGGGCTGATTAGAGACCCAAAAGAGGATTTACATATGGAAACAGGCCTATGGCTGAGATGCTCAATTAATACTTTGTATTTGTTTTTGCCAAGGTGACAGGAGGAAACTCTGTCATGAGAAGGGTTCAAAATTTATATGGTGGTGGTATTGGATAAACTGTCAGTGCTTGAAATTGTCAAGGCACCAGGACCATAAGGAGAAGCTGCCATTGTAAGTGTTGGAGGCTTGTACAACTACAACATATAAAAGGCATCTGGATGGGTACATGAATAGCAAGGGTTTAGAGGGATATGGGCCAAATGCTGGCAATGGGGTTAGGTCAGATTAGGATGTCTTGGCATGGACCAAAGGGTCTGTTTCCATGCTGTATAGTTGTATGCATCCAAGGATATTGAAAGAAGTGAGAATGGAAGTTGTGGAGGCACTGGCCATAATCATTGTCTTCTCTAGACTTGGGCAAGATGCTAAAGAACTGGAGAATTGCAAATATTCTGCCCTCTTTCAAAAAGGGTTGAAAGAATGAGCCCAGTAACTACAAGTCCGTCTAACTTCAATGGTGGGGGAGTTTGTAGAAAAGTTTGGGATTGAATTAATAGTCACTTGGAAAAATGTGGGTTGGTTAGGAAGAGCCAGCATGGATTACATAAGAGAAAATTTTCTTTGACTAACTTATTGGCAAGTTCAGTTAGAGGTGAGAGTTGATGAGGGAATGCTGTTGAGGTGAAATACATGGACTTTCAAAAGACATTTAATACAGTGCCATGTAACAAACTTGTGAACAAAGTTGTAGCTTATAGGATACAATGGACATTAACAATGATACAGAATAACTAATATTTTCACAGTCCAGACAAGTTAAGTGGAGTTCCCTGCAGTCGGCCCCTCACTTCCTGATATGTTGTTGGTCTTGATGTTTGTGTACAGGGGACAGTTTCAAAGTTTGCAGATGATACAAAACTAGGAAGCATTGTAAACCGAGGAGGAGGACAGGGTAAAACTTCAAAAGAACGTAAGTTGGAGTGGGCAGATAAGTAGCAAATGAAGCTTTATGCAGGAAAATGAGGTGATTCATTTTGGTAGGAAGAGGATGGAAAGAATATAAATTGAGGGGTGCAATTCTAAAGGAGGTGCAGAAGCAGAAGAGTATTAGGTATATATACGTACATAATTAAAGATGACCGGATAGGTGGAGAGTGTAATTGATAAACATTACAGTACACTTGATTTTATTAATTCGGGGATAGAGCAAGGAAGTAATGCTGAACTTGTACAAGTTGCTAGTTGGACCTCAGATGGAGTACTGTATACAGTTGAGCACCACACTTTAAGAAGAATGTGAACACGTTAGAGTGTTCAGAAGAGCTTTATAACGTTGGTTTCAGATGTAGGAAATTACAGTTACAAAGTTTGGAGAAGTTGGGAAGCCTCTCCTTGGAAAGGAAAAATCCAAAAGGAGATTTGACCCAGAGTCAAAGCATCAAGAACAAGAGGATACAGATTCAGTAACTTGTAAAAGAAGCTAATGCAATGTGCGAAACCTTTTCATAAAAATGAATGGATAGAGTCTGGAATGTAGTGCCTGCCATTGTGATGGAGACTGGTTCAGTTGCATTCATGTGGGCATTAGATTGTTTCTATTCAAATAACTTTAATGTTCCACGGTAAAAGGTAGGAGATTTGGAATAAGGCATAATTCTCAAAGAGAACCAGTGTGGATGTGATGGGCTGAACTGTTGCCTTCTGAGCCAGAAAAGTTCTGTGACATAACTCCAAGCAACTTTTCTTCCAAAGCATAGGTAGGGTGGTAGAATGAAAGAAAGCTTAGGCAATCTAAACAAATCCAAGAAATTACCTGCTTAACAACTTGACTGTTGCTATCTGGTCAAATATACAAAACAATTATAAGCTTCTACCAAATCTTTGATTAAACTGAGATAATTATCAATGTCAATTGTCATGTAAAAATCATCTTTCCACACATAATAGCTTTCAATTGGATCTCATGTAGTTGTTTACCCCTACTAAAAGATCAGCCCCATTCATAATTAGTTGGTTTTGGAGTTTGAAATCGCCAAATAACATTAATTGTACTTACAATGAAATGAGTTTTATTTTAATGGAGAAATGCCTGCTTTACATAAACTAAATATTTGTACAGCTGTTACTGGAAATTCAACATATGTTTAATGCAAAATAGATCTCAGATTGCATTTTTTATATATTCACAGCAATTTCTTCCAGTTCATTTACGTGAGTTGGGATTGGTGGAATTGTTATAATGGACGTAAGCAGTCATAGATGTGGCAGTGAGCTATTCTTTTCTGCTTTGAGGGTATGCAGCTTTGCATCATATCTACACAGCTAGTCCTTTTTCAGATTGTGTACATTTCTTTTGAACTTGGGTTTGACCTTTGCTTTCATCTATAATGGAGATTCAGTCAGTCTGATAAAGCAAAAACAAAATACTGTGGATGATGGAAATCTTAAACAAAATCCTGGAAATACTTGGCAGGTCAAATGGCATCTGTGGAAAGAGAACATTACAGTGGATGTCCTTTTCAAGATAATGGAGGAAGGTTAGAAGTGTTTTGAGTGTTACTATACCATTGTAGATCTTAGTTTCCTCACTTGTCCTGTTATCGTTCCCTTTAGCTTTTGTACCATGAAACCTTTTGTCATTTAATTCCTCCTGCACTCCATATCAAAAACCTTTTATTCTCCTTTACCCGCTTTTTCTCTTGCTCAAAGCCTATTTCTTTTCTAAATTTTCTTGGTTTTGATGAAAGGTCACAGATCTGAAACTGTTTTTCTCTTTTCCACAGATGCTGCCTGAGTATTTGCAGGATTTAATAAAACGCTTGTTACAAGATACTGAAAGTGTACACTGATCTACTTGAAGTTCATGCTGCAGTTCTTTCTGACCTGTCCGTTTGGGTGCTGAAGTATAGTGTTAGATACAAAATTGATGAAGGTAGAAAGCAAGCTTTTTCCACTCAGTTGTGACACCAAGTCATTGCTGAAATAACACTAGAACCTTCTCGGAAGTGATGAAAAATAAATTATTCTCCAACCTTGTCCTCTAATCATTGGTTTGCTTTATTTCACAATACTCAACTTACTTCCCTTGCTTCCTCGTCAGTCCCCCCCCCCCCCCCCCCCCCCCCACTCATCACCATCCTGCATAATCCAGTATTTTGCATTTTATGGGATAAAAGAGCATATCCCACCTATCGCATTAAGGAATGGTATTGAATATCCTGATATAGATGATGGCTCAAATATGTAATCAAAATAGGACCAAATCACAACAGTGTCTCGTCATTCACTTGGTCTTGATGTGTTTCATATTTGCCACTAGCTGCCACTCTAAATACATTTTCTTCAGGATGTATGTATTTATGGATCACTTGATTGTAGAGTATATAATTTATGGCTTTGGAACATACCAAATAAAATGCAGTCTCACTATCCACTTCTGTAAACCTCCAAAGATTTTCATTTGCTGTATTTAATGTTTTTTAAAAACCTTACCTGTGCCTACTTCTGCATATATAAACTTTATTTGTGCTGGGTCACGCGCCTCCGTTTTCGCACTAAATTCTTTTTGTCATGCTTACAAAGGGACTGCCAGTGTAAAATGGTCATGCTATGATTACCACTTCCCACCACTGTTATCCTAATTTTACACTTCCCAATTCCTTAACTTGTATTGCTTAGAAACACTGTTCCAATGTTACTTTCAAAAAGTTTGTTTTGTGATTTCTAATGTGAAATAAAAATGCAGTATTGTACAGAAAAGGGAATGTGTGACTATAAAAGACTGAATACATCTGCATGCTTGGATTCAATTGTACTGCAAGCTTGTTTCATATGGAAATGTTATTGGGCTTTGGCTACTTGTGCAGTACACTAGTAATGCATTGTTTGAGTGCACAACATATAGCATAATACAAAAGGAATTTTTGCATTTAAATAGAGATTTTTCTACTAAGTGTAAATGAGCTGTCTTGAGAGAGTTATTTGCGAGACATTATATGCTTTAAGCAATGCTAAAGGAGATATTCACATTGAATTAGGCATATAGAGAGCAGAAATTATGAAATAATAATGAACAATGATGTAACCTGACGAGAGAAATTTGATTTTTAGGTCATTGATTTAAATGATGATCATACTAAATCAGTGCTGCAATTATGTAAAATATTTAGTACAGGAACAAATTGAAGGAGTGATTCAAGTGAAGCAATACTGCAACAGTAACAGATCTAACTAGGATTGGAGTGGATAAGTATAAACTATCAGTACAGCATGACCTGCAGTAAATGGCAAACCATCAGCATTGCATTGTTGCTATATAAGCATTGGTCAAACCTTTATGCTGATGTATTGTGTACAGTTTTAACTGAAGAGGGTACCCCGATGAGCAACAAAGCCATTTCTTGGTATTTGGAATTTAGGTTTAATGTCTTTTTCTTTTTGACCTGTGTTTTCGATTTCAAATTAAACACTTCTGTTGATAAATTAACAATTTTCTAGGCAGGAATTTTATTGTGACACTTTGAATGCTAGAAAATTCAAGTTTAAATAGTTTAGTCTAAGGAGCACAGTATGTAAGATGATGCAATTTAGAAAAGAAAATGGTTGAAGAGTAGAGTATGGCAAATGTAGTTCTTTTTTTAAAAAAAAGACTTCCTTATTTTGGTTTAGCGCCCTTTCCATATCCTTAAATTTATGCATTGAATTTGTGATTTAATGCTAATCAATAAGTGACTACATTTAGAAGTACTGTCTTTTCCTCTCCTCCCTCTTAAAAACATTTCCACTTCATACACTAAAATGATGCTACTGTATGCTCTGCAGTCTGTCATTTGATGGGAGAAGTTCAAGTTCCATGTAATTGCCAATATGTCACTGTGGCTCATGAATTTTGTTTATAATAACCACATAAAATTAATCTGCATAGCAACAGCAAAGTCTCCAATTTGAAAATTAAAACTCACATTTAAATCCTATTAAACCTTTTTATTCTGAGTAAGGGTGAAAAACCAAATCTGGGCAGTTGTGCTAAATTAATGTTAATTTTTTTTAAACGTTAACCTTGTTCATCTCTTCTGAAATCAACAACATAGTTCCATAAGCATTCTTTCCTGCCATGTCTATTTGGACATTCCTTATCAGTGCACCCAACCAGAAAGTCTTGACCGGCTGTTTGTGTAGAGCGATCTTCTCAACCTATTGAGTCTGAGCCTCTTTTTTCATTTCCCCCCAAGCTGCAAGTATGTCTTTAAGAGGTTTTGGAGTAGCACTCATCAATGAGAACCTTGGCTTACAATTTCCTCTCTGCCTAAACCATGAAGAAACTAATTATACTCAGCTATTTCTTTAAATCAGCCAATCAATGCAAACTTTGTACCTGTATTAACGTAACAGCATAAGAACTTGAGTTTTGGATTGAACTTTAGATCATTTGGATGCATAGCTAGCCAGCTAAGTCAATGGAGCAAAATGTCAGCCCTCAAGGGCTATTAGGGATGAGCAATAATTGCTAACGTTGCAGGATGCCCCTATTCCATGAGCAGATTGGAAAAAAGCCTCTTAAATGTATATTTCACTTGTTTAACCTGAAACTAAATTAGGTTAATATTTGAAGTATAATATTAAAAAAAAGTTGATTCATATTTCAGTAACTCATAACTATTATATTTTAACTGTAGACTGTTTAGCTGCATGTCATTCCTCTGTAATTTAATATTAAGCATATCATTCAGGTTTCTTTGTTGCTCATCAAGCTCCTTAAAATTCAGAGTAGTATTGTTTTTCATAGTAGCTTTGACCTTACAAGTGCAAAACTCATGGCATGGTGAGGTCAATTGTTGTTTTTATTTTAAAGTTGATGAGCATTACTCTTGCCCAGAAAGCAAGTGTGTAACCATTCTTTCTTTGAGATTGTAGATTGAAGAAATTTGTTGCTAGTGTTCCAAAATATTTTGTTTTCTTGCAGATTTGTGACTTTGGTCTTGCCAGAGTAGAAGAACTTGATGAGTCCCGTCATATGACCCAAGAAGTTGTCACTCAGTATTACCGAGCACCAGAAATCCTGATGGGTAGCCGCCATTACACTAATGCCATCGATATCTGGTCTGTAGGGTGCATCTTTGCAGAACTTTTAGGCCGTAGAATCTTATTCCAGGCTCAAAGTCCCATTCAACAGGTAATCCAGCTGATTGACGTGAATTTTTCCTTCAAGATAAGGAGCCTTGTGTTTTAAGGGCATAAAACCTCTGTATACTCTTCGGATAACCTCACTTTTAGACGTTGCAAAGCCTTCATTTACCATCTCTTGTAGAGGTTTTGTAACATTACATTTAAGACCTACTATTTTGAACCATTCAGATTGTTTAATTGAGATTTGAAACTTTGTTTTACAGATTGACTTGAGTATCAACCTTATACCATTAATCTTGGTACCATGGTATCAATAGATGGGTGAAAAGAAAAATTGAAAATCTGCAGTGTAAATATCAGCTTTTTCAAAAGTTGGTATTTGAAGTAATATAGATCTTGCATATCTATTTATAAATATTATCAGTACATTCATTGACATAAGAAAGGAGTAACAGGAGTTTACTGTAGTATAAAGATTTGAAAGGGTAATGTCCAGGACAGTCTAACTAGCGTCTTCCACTGAGAGGGAAATCGTCAATGCTTAAGTTAGTGATACTTCTGTAAAGCTGTACATTCTTCCTTAATATGTGATAAACTGGTGATAATTAGAACTTATTAAAGGGCCTGTAGTTTCTCTTGGCTAGACTAAGCAAGCATACTGCACATGCTACTGAGGCCCTTGAGTTTTTACAACTATTCAATTAGCTGGTTTGTATCCCCACTCAACAAACTGCCTTATTTTTATCCCTTGATACCTTTACCTAGCAAAAAGAGTAGGTAAATGAAAATTTAAATTGACCCAGTATCTGCAGTGTTGTGGACAAGAGTTTAGATTTTTCATTACTCACAAGTGCCAAAAAGTATTGCGTGATTTAACTGCTAAATGACCAATTCTTAACTTTTTGACTGTATCCTTGTTGTGAATTGTCTGCCAAAATAAAAGGTATTTTTATACCCAACCTGTTGAAAAATCTTTTACCATTTCAAAAGACTTGGATTAGATTAACCCCCAATATTCTATTCTAAGGGAGTTCAATTCCATTTTTCTGTCCTTTATTAACACCTAGAGATGGTGTGTCTATGGACATGTAAATAGATTTGCTCATCCACAGTTCTTTTGTGTCTCACTACAGTGAAAATTATTCTAATTTTGTTTTGAGTGGGTGACCTCACACATACCAAATTGAAGTTTAACCTGCCAGCTTTTTCCACTATGCGCATGACCCTTTACAACTTCCTACTGTATCTGTGCAGTTTACTGTGTTTTAGTGAGGCAGTTATTGAACAAAACTCCTGATATGAGGGCTTTTTAATTGTTGATTTTGACTAGTCAGAGTCGATTGTTGAGCAGCATGATATTTGTTTTCATATTGTATCAGGCATTGTGTTTCCCTTTTGCTGCCACTTTAAAATTGCACATGTCTCATGGTGTCCGCCTGGAGCTATAAAACCACAAAAATGGTTATTAATGTGGCGGGAACAGTTGCAAGCATTTTCTGAAGTCAAGATTGTAAACTGGCGTGTGTCATTATGACCCAACTGCATTGTTCTAAAATGGATTGCATAAAATAAATATATAGGTACCCTCAAACAACATCTCTTCCGTTTCTTTTTCAAAAGAATTCTTTATAAAGTTTAGCCTTTGTTTCCTGTTGCGTCCAGTCCTGAATCTGCCTTCCCCTCCAATCATGTCCAGTGCTGATGTTCCAATACTAAAAGTACTTCTTTGTCTGACCTGTCTGTCAGCTAGGAAGCTGCTTTGTCAACTGCAGAACCAATTTATGGTAAGAAAGCAATCTCGTCCAACAGAAGTACTGCCTGATCAGCTGTTCCTGTATTAACTGAAGGATATCTGGTAAAATCAGCTATAGGTTATTTTTCTCAGAGGACTGAATTGAGTGCTGAATCAAAAGTTTTTTTCATAAACATTGCCAACAGGAAAGAGGTAACTGAGTAAAAATCAATGTGTGGAATGGTGTTCGACTTATACAGGGGTCATGGCTTTTTGCTGGAATATAAAATCACAGTACGTATGAGCATGAACAATAATCTGCAAAATCAAACTTTTTTTCTTTAATGGGATGTGGATGGTTGCTGGTAAGACCAGTATTTGTTACCTTTCCCTAATTGCCCTTGAACTAGAGTGTCTTGCCAGGCCATTTGAAGCAGTTTTAGAGTCCACCTTGTTACTAAGAGTTCTGAATCACCTGTAGGTCAGGCCAACTAAGGACAGCTGATTTCCTTCCTAAACTAAACAATGTTAGTGAAATTGATTCTGAAAAAATACCTACGATAGTTGTCATGATCATCATTACTGAGATTATCTTTGTTTCCAATTTATTAATTGAATTTAAATTAAACTACTTGACCTGGTCATTTTGAGCCATCTGCCCCAGAGCATTAGCCTGCTTGAAATACTAATTCAATGAGATCGCCGCTGCACTGCTGTCTCTTTCAAACAATACAATTCAAGGTAAAAAAGTAAAGTGTAGACAACAAAATTTGTGTGCCTAAATTAAGTTTCTTACATGAAACTAAAACACTTGTTATAATAATGTCTTTCAAAGATATGTCTGCCATTGTTTTAGTCTTGTGCAATTGTGTCTTAATGTAGAAAGTAGTTTTTCTCAGTTATACTTAATGTATTTTCATTTACTTGAATATTCAATTAATATGCATTCTAACAGTCAAGTGAGCAATTGAATTATGTAAATTGCTGGTTGGTGTGGTACTGGACTAGATTTATTAATATGCAGCTAGTGTGAATAAGTACTTTGAGCTGGTTTCCTATATTCTGTGGATAAATGCAAGTTGTTTGTAATAACTTGTACAAATGCATATATTATATAATATAGTCATAACTGATCAACAGAATTTAGTATATGCCTGTGGCTCAGTCTCTCGAAATTCTAGTTTCAAATCTAGCACAGTTTCAACTTTGCCAAAGGCACTGCAGTCTATATGTTTGTGACAATATTAACATTGTATGTGAATTTCTAGCATTTTTTTTATAATACAGGTGTTATGATTGTCACTATGCAAGAAAAGATGCATTTGATAAGTCAGTAAAATTGTTTACTAAAAATCAAAACATTGCAGTTCAAAAACGCTGAAGTTCGACCAAGTAATTTGATCTTTATTTTATAAATTCGAAATCCCTTAATTCTAGTTAGACCCATGGCACAAGTGAATTATTCAGAGTTGAGCTGAAAGGTTAATCGTTATCAACAATTTATGACTCTCCTTAGAATGATTTATACATACCAACTTCTAACTTTAATATTTTAAAAGAATCTTACTGATCAATAGAGTGCAACACTTGTGACTGTCCTAAACGGTGGATTATATATCTCTGGCAGTTGGACTTGATCACAGATCTATTGGGAACTCCATCACTAGAAGCCATGCGGACAGCATGTGAAGGTGCCAAGGCTCACATACTCAGGGGTCCTCATAAACAGGTAAGATTCCACTAAGCTTAGTTTGTCTTTGAGCAGCACTGCTTATTGGATGGAAGATCCTAAAATTATGAATTGCACTTCTCGACTTGACAGAAAAATAGTTTTAAACTAGAGCTTTTTTTATACTTTACCTTTATCAATCTGAAAGAATATCAATTTAAAAATGGTTGAAATTATATTTTATTCCCTTTAATACTCTTAATACAATTTTCTTGGCACCTGCTTATACATGGGATATGATTCTTCTGATATCAGTGGTCCCTTCCAAACGTCGTCGTCGTCATCGTCATCATCATAGTCAACGTCGTCATCGTCATCATCATCATCATCATTATCATCATCTGTGAGCCCACATGCTCAGCTTGATTTTTGGGTGCCAGCTGCATGAGATTTGGAGGCTGGCAGGTGCTAAATATAATGCCAGCAGTTTGCGTGCTGGATCCCTTGCTCCTTTTTTTTGTGTAGTTATGGCATTGGATGGACAGTCGTATGCAGTGGGTAGCTAATCCAAATAATTAAGTGCCTATTAAGGTCTGTTAAGAGGCCAACTGGATTATTTTGGATGACCGCCAGCTTCCAGGTTTTCAGGTGACAGGATTAATAAATGACCTCAGTAAAGGCACTCTAGGTAGCAACAATGACAGTGATTAAATTTTACATTCTGTTTGAAATGGAAAAGAGTATGTTAAAGACTAGTACGTTAAACTTAAGGCAATTATGTGGCCACAAAAACTGAACAAGCTGAATTGAACTGGATGGATCAATACAGAAGCAGTGACAGACTTTTAAGTCAATGTTTCGGAAGACTTGGAATAGCCTGTTTTAACTAGAATTTAGAAGATTTAGGGGTGATCTAATCAAAGTCTTCAAAATATTAACAGGAAAAGACAGGGTAGATAACAACTATTTCCAGTGGTAGGGGCATAGTCTTGGAGCTAGGGTCAGACCATTTTAGGAAGCACGTCTACACACAGGGTGGTAGATGTTTTGAACTCCCTCTTCCACAAACAATGGTGGGTCCAGGATTAGCTGTTGATTTTAAATCTGAGATGGATAACATTTTATTAAACAAAGGGAGTAAGGGATATGAAGCAAAGGCAGGTATATGGAGTTAGGCTACAGATCAACCATGATCTCATTGAATGGTTGAAATAGCTTGAGGGGCTGAATGACCTACTCCTGTACCTAAGGAGACGGCCTACTATCCATGGTTAACTAAAGTAGTTACAGATAATATTAAACTTGTGGGAAAATCATGTAATTATGCAAAGGTGAGAGGCAGCTCGTGATTGGATAGACTATAAAGAATGACTAAGATTAGTCAGGAGAAAGAAGCTAGAAATGGAGGAATAAAAATGCAAAGTGTAAAGGGATCTGGGTGTTCTAGAATGTTATGCTTCAGTTATACAGGGCTTTAGTGATACCACATTTTGAATACTGTATACAATTTGATTGTCGTATCTAAAGAAGAATGTAAATGGCTTGGAGGTGGTTCAAAGAATGTTTACTGAGTTGATACTCTGATCAGGTTATCTTGCGATGAAAAGGTTTAACATACTGGGCTCCTTCCCACAGGACCAATCACTTGATTTAAATAATAAAGTATCTTGAACAAGTCTTGAAGGTAAATGTAGAACATATTTTTTATTATGGATGGGCCTAGAAGTAGGGGCACTTTAAAAATTAGGTGGTACCCTATTAGGGCAGAGATGAGAAATTTGTGTTGTGTGACTGGAATTTTTCGCCTCTGAAAGTGGTGTGGCAAGGTCATAGAATAATTTTAGGCAAAGATAGATTCTTGCTTGGGTAATGGAATCAAAAGCTATTGGATGTAGATAGTAAAGTGGAACTGGAAACAGTCAAATCAACCATGATTCCATTGAATGGCAAAGCAGACTCAAGGGCTGAGTAGCCTACTTTTGCTCCAAACTCATGTTTGTATGTTCCCACAGTTGTCGGGACCAGTTTAACTGCCTGGAGGCAGCTTTCCAGATGCCAGGCCAGCGGTGGGAGATTTGGAATGGGTCGAGTTCAACTTTCCAGACAGGCCCAGAGGTCCAACATGCTTCAGCAACCACAAGCCACCCTGTAAGGGGAATCTCCATTTAAACCGGCGCCCCAAGTGCCTTCTCCTTCAACTTCTGTGGCATTCTGCCTGCTGTTTTTGAGCTAACAGGCCACTGGCCTTCTAGCTGAGAGAACACTTTTTAAATTGTTTATTTAGGTTACAAGATGGTTAGTCAGTGAGGCACATGCTGACAGAGTTGCCAAATTTCATTTACAAATGAACAGAATTCCTTCATAAAAGAAGGGAAAAAAAATGAACTAAATAAAGACAGTCAGAATGATCTTGTAATATACAGGTAAACAAAGTTTTAGAGACTCGAGTCCAAAGAAGTTAAAGGTCTATCACCTCTTGAACATTCTACTTAACTGACACCTGAAATTTCTCTTGCCATGAACTAGTAAAGCAAGTCAATGAGTCCTTTCCAAATCTGCCAGCGTGAACTTCTAGCAAATTTGAGGCCTGAGCTTTCTCCGTTCTAACAACCTGCTAATTTTTAACCAAACTGTCCTCGCGTGAAAGTTTCATAAATTTAAACTTTTGAGGTGACTTGCCCCGAATCATCCATCTATAAGAGGAATTAAACTTGCTTCTAAACTCAGCACTAGTGTCTTCTGAACTGCATTTCTTTTAAAAATTGCTCATTCTAGATACTTTTGAACTGAAAACAAAGCTAATTGCTATACATGTCATAAACCCAACCCAAAACGTCAGCCTTCCTGCTCTTCTGATGCTGCTTGGCCTGCTGTGTTCATCCAGCTCTACACCTTGTTATCTCAGTATAAATATCTTTCCATTGACACCACAAGGATTCACAAGCACCTAATCTCTAGCAAAATTTTGGATTTAAATCACCATTCCAGAATAGCTCTGGTTATTTTTAAATGAGAACCCTTCACAGAAGTGAAATTTATTTTATGAAACGAATTCTAAAAATATTAAATTATATACCTTTTATAACCGTAGACATCATTCCCCAAAATAACATGTTTAGTAAACTTGTGCCTTTAGGCTATTTTTCTTTTGACAGATTTAAAATTTTGAGTTATTTGCTAATCCTAACCCTTGCTAATTTGCCAGGTTAAATATTGTGGCTGGAGAGATGCACAATATGAGTGCTTCTGGCATCTTTGTTCTGTGCCTTCAAGAGCCCTAGTACCTTTGGAGGTTATTGGAGACGGGCCTTAATCAGTTATGTAACAAATTATTTCTGCTGCAAATTTCTTAGTCATTCAACTTAAATTAACAGAATTATTTTGACATTCAGCTAACTTCGTGCAACCAGTTGTGCAAGAAGCTGACGTTATATTATTAAACTACAGATTAATCTGATCTGAATTTAGTTTCCAATTACGTGATTGAAGGCTTGCTATTTAAAATTAGAATGACCAAAGTAAAATAAGTGTTTAAATGACAAAATATCCAATTGTAATGTTCACAATGATTTACCAAACAGTTAAGCATTTAGTGATTCTCAAGCAACTTACATTTATACAATATAGTTAAAGTATTAAAATGTCCCAAGGCACTGTGCAGAAGCATTAGTAAGCAAAATTTTATACTTGAGGCTATTTGGGCCTCAATCAAAAGTTTGGCCAAGTGGTTGTTTCAAAGGAACAGAGGCAGAGAATTTAGAGAGGCTATTATAGCAGGTAGGGCTTGGAAAGTGAAGGTACAACCACCAATGGCAAAGAGATTAGACTGAAGACGCAC